ATTAAATTCAGCCATCACATATTATTATTACGTCATCTACTTTCTAAAATCATCTAAAATGTTTATGACGGTGCCTTAGCGAAGGTACTTATATATTATTATCTCTATAGTTAATGATTATTATGTGTATTTTATATGGTACGACGAAATTACTGCTACTACAGATTTGATTAAAATTAAACGCTGCTACCTTGTAGTTTGTACCTACTACCTATTTACTGGCTGCTTAATGAGTTATGACTACCGGTTGTTACAAAATAAAGTGAAAATATGTGTTAACAGTACAATATTTATTGCTKAGTATTATTCACTATTTAACATTTTAACCAAAGTTTAAAAGTTTCTATATTTTGCTGACCATGTATTAATTAAACACTAACGAGTTCTTGACAATTAATTACTTGAAAACATGTCATGGCTCATAGACTTGGCCGGTAAAGCGGAACATTACCTGGATAAAATCGACCAGAACACAGCGGTAGTTTTACAACATCAAAAGGAAAAGCCACTGAAAGACGTTTTCAAGTATTTTTTTAAATACATTTACTTAATTAAATTATGACATATGCATMTTACGGTATATTCTAATAGTACTGGTACTTATTTCTCTTTTTAGAACACCAGTATCAGAAAATGTGTCAGTTGAAATCGAAAATAAACCCATTACGTCGGTTCCTAGTTCACCTGCCACAAAGTCATTACTAAAGAAGCCTAAAAGTGATTCTCGCATATCCGATGAGCACCTATTGCAGTATTTAAACAGTCAAGATTCGACAATCCAATCTCAAGTTTGTTATAACCGTTTAAATATAACTAACTTATAATATTTAATATAATATGTTGAATCTAACAGTATGTAATTACACTTAGTATGAGGGTCAATCTACTACTTATCTTGATAATTCAATTGATCCAGTATCCAAACCGTTGACCGAGGAAAATTACATGTTGAAAAATGAAATAAGAACGTTAAATAATGAAATGTCCTTATTGCAATATAAATTGAAAACTGCAGATAAAGGTAATTACTATATATTACCATTGAATTTCCA